GTATTGTGATTCAATGAACCACTACAGAAGAGTGTACAATTGGCTACACATGTAACTTTTCTATATTACCTATTTAAGGAGTCTACCTAAAGGTTTTCTATCAATTGTTGTACCTAATACTCCTGCTTGGATGTTCTACTTTAAATCCTCTTAACCTATAACCTGTATTAATATCACTGGTCATCTTAGATGCTTAGATCATTGTTCTCAATCTTAGGACTAATTTATCCTCGAGGTAAACTCCTTAGAGCCTTCTGTACCTATTTTTACAGTTAACCTAGATATTGCTATGACAGAACTAACACTTGTGGTCAAGGCTAACCATTAAACTGCTATGCTCTTGTAGAGTTTACTTAGACTCCAGCATCTATTTCATAGCATAACTCTGGTACTACAAAACCTTTTGTATATATTTACTAGTATATTATTTGAATAGTACTGTATCTTTTTTTTTAAACTAGTTTTTAGACTGTTATACATTTCAGAATATAATATTTCTTAATAAGACTTAAAAGCTTCTTTTGTTAATTATCTATTTATTCTACAAATTATTAATAAAGACTTGTTTTTATAAAGTTTAATTGTATTTTAGTATTGACTTTATAGCATATTTTTAATATTTTAATATACCTCTGTTTTGTTTTTAAACTTTTAATCTAAATAACTCAGAAGAATTATAACCTATTTCTAACATATTAAATCTAATTTGATATCTTTTTTTCAATTTGATCTAGTAATTTAATTAGTAATATTTCTTACTTATAGGTTTCTATTTATCTGATTTCTTTATATTAGTATTTATTTTTTAAGTTTAGTTTTTATAATGATATTCTTAAAAATCTGTATTACTTTTTTACTTAAGTTTTTTCAAGTAAGTTTCAGTTTTTTCTAGTTTTACAGATTTATATAATTATAAAAACTTATTTTGAATTTGTATTATCTAGTATCAGTTTGCATCTTTCTGTATAATTAAAATTATACAGATATTTTGTAATCTGCCAATTATGTTAGTATAATTATAGTTACAGATATTTTATCTTAACTAATTAACAAAATACTATCACTATAATACTATCTATATATTACATAAGTAATTGTTTAAATTTTTATCAACAATGAGTTTTGAACTCTCAACCTATCACTTGAAAGGTTAACAACTTATCTATTTCACTAAGTTATACAACTTTGGTTTATTGTTTTGATTTATTTCAATTTATTAAATCTTAATTTATTTCAAATTAAATTAAATTTAAACTAAAATAACCTTTAGGGTTGATAGCATAGTGGTTATGCTTCGAGGTCACGAATCGCAAAGTTGCCTATTCAAATCCTAGTGATGACAATTATAGAAATGCATTTCCAAAAATAAGGAATTGCAACACTGCAGAACTAGGAACCTGGGATGTTTATGAATAAACTTATTTCTGAAAATAGCAAGTAACTTGTAATTGAGAAATCACATAGTAATGAATACAAGTTAGAGCCCATTTGGAATAACCAAAGTCATGAAACATAATGTGAGGCCAAAAGTCTGACAATAAGAGATACTATATGAACTCATAGTGATAGCCAGTTCTTAATAGAGCTTGGTAAAGCTTTTCAGTTCTAGCAGGAGTTGGTGCAACTGTCACTCTTAGAAAGTTTAAAAGTACAGACCAGGAGAGGTTAAGATTCAGGAAAACATGAATATGAAGGATGATAGTTCAAAATATAAAGAACATATAGAAAAATCTCAGCAGGACAAGTCAAAAAAAAAAAAAAAAAATTAAACTAAAATTACTTCAAAGTAATATACTCTATTTAGCAACTTCATCTGCAAATTTTTAATAACCTAATTCATCTTTTATGTTGTTTGACTATCAATACTTCTAAACATTTTCAAACATTCTGACAAATCAGAATATGTTTATGCTTAAAAAATTACCATATAGATCAGACCAGGTAATCCGAATATTATTTGACCAAATCTTTGTAAAGATCTATATGTGCGCAAATCTCAAAAAAACATAGAACTGTGACTGAATCTGAATCGGATTCGGATCTTTTTCAGAACACTATTTTAACAGTATTTTTCTAAGATTTTTTAAGATTTTTGAAAATTTTTTTTGAAATTTTCTTAATAACTACTAAGTTAAACTTTATAATTTTTTTTTATTTCAATTTTTCAAGTTTACATAATTTTTTTAAAAAAATTAAAATATAAAAAAATTGTTATGCTACTTAGCATAACCAATCAAATTTGTAAAAAAGATGGATGTAAATGCCTTTGGTTCATATTATTAATTAATACTGCACGTTCTATCTATACTACGGTAATATAAATAAGTATTAAGATCATTAAAATAGTAGTTTAAACTTAAGTACAGAGTTTTTCAGGTTTAAATTTATCTTAAACATCTTTTATAAACTATTTTTTCGCATTCAGTACTTGTATATAGCTAGTAATAGTAATAAATATATATACAGTAATTTACTTCTAAATGACGTTTTTCAGGTTTACTGATCTTGTTCTTTCGAAGTTAGAAATGGCTTTTACTTCAATTTTTTGTTAGTGAAACGTTACGTTCTTTTTAAAGTGTATAAATAAGTTACCCGAGCAATTGATTTACATTAGCCAATCAGATGAATTCATCCTATGACTACGCAGTGATCGCGTGAACGACCCCAAATTCGGTATATTCCCTGACTGGTGATTATTGTTATACTTTAAATTTTTACATTCCAAGTACTGGTACTGTTTACTAACGCACTTAGGATTTCAAGTAATTATTAAACCGAAATGGCGACAACAGACATAGCTCACCTTCTTCAGCAAGAACAAGACTTTCAATTTTTAGCTTTCGATTCCACCATAGCACTTGAATTAGGTCTTCTAATTCTCAAAAACGCTCAACAAAAAGGGATTCCTGTAGTCATTTCTATTACATTGAACACACATCTTCTATTTCACTATTCCATGCCGGGGACTAGTCCCGCGGATGTTGAATGGGTACGAAGAAAAAACAATGTTGTAAACCAATTTTATCATTCTTCCCTTTATGTTAGTGAATATCTGAAACAAAACAAGAAGCTCGGTGAAGCATATTACGCTGGTGACAAAGAATTTGTTGCATATGGTGGTGCTTTTCCATTAATCATTAAAGGTGTTGGTGTTGCTGGAACTATCACAGTCAGTGGATTATCACACATCGAAGATCATGAACTTGTAGTGTTGTCTCTGAAAGACTTTTTTGGGATGGAAAAAGAGGGAAAAAACAAAGTCGAATAATTTTATATACGTTTATGTGTTTATAACATATTCGGTGTGATGAAAATGTTTCATAATATTAAGTTCAAGTTATATAGATGTTTATTTTATAGCTTTACTCAAAAAAAAAAAAATAATAATAATCAAATCATTTATAATATATCCAATCATTTTTTCCATTAAAGCATATCAAAGTCTCGAGGGAATAGAAAATATTAAATTATTAATAAGATTTGGGTGATATAAACCAAAGATCTCGTGTTAGCTTAATAGCTTAGTAAAGAAGAATAATAATTTAGTAAATTACGATGTTAACTTCTTGATTTCCTCATTCATTATCTTCGAAATTTCATTATTAGTTCCGAGTATTGTAGGAAGCGACACTGATGAATCCGGCCGTGTCCATTCGTCGGCTAATCTTTCTTCATGAAAAAACATTTCTGCAATCCTGGTATCCACTTCTTTATTTGTATTTGCACCGATAATATTTAGAAATAAAGAATATTCACCCGAGGCAAGTTGTACTTGAAAACGGCCGAAGGTAAAATCCGGATTATTTTTTTTCGAATCCAGATAGCGCGCTCGGAATGTATTTATGAGGGATTCCGATTTAATTTTCCCGTCAATGGCGTTGGCAATCAATTGATCAACTAAGTCTTTTTTTACCACCCAATTCTCACCTAGCGCACTGTCCACATGACATAAGGATACGTCGTGCTCGAGGTTACCATGTTTATGAAGATCTTCTAACGATCTTTAAGTAAGGAATACATTATAAGTATTACGTATATAATGGGGATGGGCTCGCTCTATAGCATGTTATTTCATTATACATATATTAGATAATTCTATCAGTAAATGGTTTAAACGGTTCAAATTATAACATGTTATATAACGAATTCAAGTAACAGTTACTGCCATCCCTAGTGTATAACAAATGACCTCACGCATATATCGTACATTTTTCCTGCAAACCATTTTCCGTATAATGTAAAACAACCAGCCACCTGAAACATTGCTAATAAAGTGTCTTCATTAAAAGTCTTCTGAAGAGCTTCGAATAATTGTTTCGGTGTTATGCCTTTTCCGTCACGAGGCCTATTTTAAATCTTATTCAACAAGTTTATACAGGAATAGCACTTTCCCAATAAAATATAACTTACAAATAACCATGATTAGCCATAGCATTTAGAGCAGGGCAAGGAGATCTAACCTCCCCTTCTTTGGGAGCCTGCCATTCGTAAGACATGACCATATGAGTGCTGCCAAGTAGAATGGGCCACTTTTTTATTATCTGATTTAGCCTTTCTGATCGCACGTACCTCAGACAATTAGGGTTGTGTTACATTAATACAACACATGTAATTTCATCACGTCATACATGAAGTACCAGATTTACAAAAGTTCTGTATAATGGCGAAGTTTACACTTCCTACTAATTAAATTTATTAAAAATCTGTTTTTTTGTAAATTTGAACTTGCGTTACGATTATATTACAAAAAAAAACGAGCTTTAAATCAATTATGTAATGTCAATTTGACGAAAATAAATTTTAATTTCGTGAAGGTATAATGGCAGATTGACGATCATCAGATATACAAGTTTCGATTACCATTACGTTCGTTATGTTAATATCGCCATTGCTACTTTTTTTACCCGGCTTTTTTTTTTCTTTCCTCTTTTCGACGTTCTGCTTCTGCTTTTTTCCACTTCTGGGTGACAGCTTCTTTTTTCTTTTCACGTTTTCAGTTTTTGTTCTGGTTAGTTCTTCTGCCTTATTTAACTCTTGCAAAGAGGTCTCGTTGGTTAGAAGTTTGGCAAATGGTAATGTTTTCTTTTTTTTGTAGGTTATATGAATGAGGTTTGACACTATTAGGTTCTAATCCATTAGTTTGTGGGGGAAAACAAAGAGTAGGGTATTTAAACATCAGTTTTAATGGACAAGTATTAGGATTTTTAAAAGTTTTTAACTCTTCATTTATTGTTTCATATTTTCTTTTCATAACTCATTTTCTTTTTTTTAATATTTTAATTTTTTTTTAAGAGACCTAAGATCTGTTTTTAACAAATTTATTCTGTGTCAAGTAGAATATTAATAAGATATTAAAAAGAATATGGTTTTTGAAATCGATAAAGTTTTGTTAATTTGTTGAAAAGAATAAGATGAAAATAAGAAATTCAGTTAAAGAGAATAAAATAAAAATAAAAATTTTAATTAAAAAGAGTAAAATAAAAATAAAGTATTAGATTAAAAAGAATAATATAAAAATAAAGAATTTATATGTTTATTGTTAATAAAGAATTAAGATAATCAGAATTAATAGTATTAGAATTAAACAATCAAATACTTGTATTATTAAAAGTATTTCTAATAATCTTTAAATACAAGTTGTTGTAAATACTAAAATAAGAATTTTTACAAATGTATGCTTAATTACTATTTTACTTGTATTTTGTAAAGTTGATCATAATTTTTACTGTATTTCAGTTTTATTTATTTATTTTTTTGGTATTAAGGTGACCTCTTTGGTCTTTTTAACTTTTATTAATCACTTATCAGTATTGTGGTTCAATGAACCACTACAGG